CCAGGGTGGTGGCCGCAGGGACAGATGTCGGCAGGCACTGGCATACGGCCTGGCATACGGCCCGAGCTCCAAGGGTCTGGCCCATGCCCCACAAAGGCAAAAATCTGTGGGACAGACTGCAAACATGTTGCCAAATAAAACCCGTAGTGCTTTTCCACTATCAAATCGCACAGGGAGAGCACAAGCCGGTCGCTGTGCGGAGAATTTCCTATTTGTGGGGGAGGGTGGGCCGTGGCACCTTACCCCTCCTCCTCGTTATACGAGGCTGGGAGGCCGAAAGCGAGTGACCTGGCCATCTTTACCCCGTATCCTCAGCTCAGACAGGTAATCATTAATAACAGCTGTGAGGAAAACCCGACGAAGGACTGCCTGGTTCCTGCCCGTGTCACATGCATAGAAACTAAGGCACAAGACCTAAGTGGCTTGCTCCAAGTCATGTGGCCAGTGGGCTCTGGAGGCAGGATTTGAACTTCCAAAGTCTAATGAGGCTCAGGAGCCCCTGAGATCCTGACTTACTTCCCCAGACTAATCTTGAAAAGATGTCACCCTGTTTCCTCCCTGCTGTCCACCCACCCAGCCCTGAGTCAGGGAGTAGCGCACACGGATCTCACCGGAGTCTCCAGATAATCTCAATTTTTTGGCTTGTTTTGCAGTGCTGGGGGTGGAACCCAGGGCCTCGCCCCATGCTAGATAAGTGCTATACCTCAGAGCCATGTCCTCAGTTCTCCAACTTTACCGTCTTCCCATTTCATGGGGGGGACCCTCCAAGGATGAAGTCACTTGTTCAAGACCGTAAGAGCCAGAAAGCAGCACAGCTGAACACCCTGGGGTGCTCCCTGCCATACTCAGTGGGATTTGTGCAAGGCCCGGGGCCTCCTGCCCATGACTATCCTCATATCCAGGAAGGTGACCGCACAACTTGTACCAACACTTTGGGGACCACCAAGGCAAGAAGATCTCTGGCAAGTAAACTGACACATAACCGGGGTGAGTGCACCCCAATTTCAGACCTGCTACACGCAAAAGGCAATCAGTGACACCCGGGGTGGCAACAGCTGTAGGAAAGGACCCCTCCCTGCTGCTGGTACCTGCGTGTCAGGAGACACCAGAGGTCTTCTGGCTGAGTCACCGGCAGAATGCATTTAGTTTTTGGTTCTGCTGACTGCCTTCTGCTTTACGTTTCAGGAAGTTTCACGGAAGCATGCACTTGCGTGATCTAACGTGGACCATTAGATAAGCTTTGATGCAGCACATCTGAAACCTTCCACCACAATGAAGATAACGAATGCTTCGGACCCTCACAAGGGCGAATGGGTTTAACCCACACTCCACGCTTGGGTTGCAGAGTCTCTGCCAATCAGAGTAACAGGAGGGGAACAGCTAGCGGGCAAGGAGGGCTTCTGGGGTGGGAGCCCCACGCGGCCTTTTACCTGAAGGCCGTCCCACCAGGAAAGCCCCAAGGGGAGTCCCTGCGGTACCGTGCCCCCCGAGGATAAAAGAACAACCCCCTCTGTTATTAGGCTAGAAGTAAAAGAGTTCAGACCCATCTACAGGACCCTGAGAAGTACCCGGCAGGCTGATGGCAGGGACAGTGACCTCGATCTGATTTTTTTTTTTTTTTTTTTTT